CATTTAGGGACTTGTCATCGAAAAGAAAGTCATGTGTTATGAACACATTTTGAGGTCTGTACATGTCAAGCATATGAAAAAAAAAAGTTCACTTAGGAAATAGAACCAGAAAAGTCAATGCAATTGTAATAGTTATGATTTTCACAGTCTGATTCGCTAATATGGAGTATATCTTTCTCTTTTTTCTTTTACGATGTGTTACAAATGACAAGTATGACATAAGGACAGAGCTGTACAAGTCAAGTCTGATTTGACTTGACTTGCACATTTCTGCTTCTCCACACACTATCACCCTACTCTTCAGCCTCATCCATACCCTCATTGTATGATATTTTGCTCTAGACTATTTCCTCATTCGATATTCTGATCTTCGCTGATTTCTATTTCTACATTTTTTTTGCGCTTTCCACCAGGTCCTTTCATAATACTGTCAGTTTTTGATGGAATTGTATTTTTAATAGAAGGAACTTTCTTTATTTTCACTAGTTACATATATATAATTAAAAGAGTATCACAAAATCACTAATAATCTAATGCTCATGTAAGTTCTATTCTATTTTTTTTCATATATATATATTTTGCGTCAATGGAATTTTTTCTTTCTTTTATTCTTCTTTAAGATTATTGCAGATTACTTGTTTTTCAGATAATTATAGTACATCGTGAGAAAATATAGATGTCATTGCATCGCATAACATATTAATCATAAATAAACAAGAAAATTTCGCAAGCAAAAAATTGTATCATAAAAAAAAAGAGATCAATATTTTTGGGTTACATGAGTTTCGGCTCGGGCTAAATCTTCTCACTAACTGCTCTCAAAATCTAACATTCTATGAAAAATTAGTTCATTCCTTAGTACTTAGCGACATGCATTTTCAATTAGACATAGTGCTAAGCAGTCTGCTTTGATCCTATTAAAAATAATGTTATCTTTTGAGATAACTATTACATGTATGCAACAAGTGCCGACAAAAAAACTTGTAATGCTCAAGAGGACTATCAAGTTATGCTCTTCTTATCATCTTTAAATAATCAACGTTTCTTCATAAATGTTGCCAATATTTTGACCTTTCTATTACGTGTCTATTCTAAGCACTATGGAGTATATAAAATATTCATAGAAACAAGGCTTTTTATAACGATTAATGAGAAGAATTTGATCTGTGTTCGTGTCGAAATTTCGATCTGTTTCTTTTTTTTTATTGCAATGTAAAGTATGCAAAAAAAAAACAACCTGCAATAATCTTAAGCCAAAATAACAAATGATGAGTGATATTCAAATGACTCACACTGTATCTTCCTAGAGACAATGTTTTTTTTTTCTTTTTATTATTACAAATTATATTGACATAGTAAGCTTTATTCCAATTTCAATAGTTGAATCGATCTGTTTTCTAAAAGCAGCAAAGTTGTTTTTATTTTCTATTTTTTGTTGAAACAAGAACAGCAAAAAAGCAACATTAGTAACATGAAAACATTCTAAAGATAATAACTACAAAGACATCATTTGATTTGTTGCTTGTTTTTTTTTTTACTTCACAAACCATGTTCATTCATGAAATCAATAATGTACCATATTTTTTTAATTTTCTATTTAACTTGATTACTAGGAGTAATTTTATATTTTGCAATACCAGATTCTTTTAAAATACATATATGTTCTAAATCACGAAAATATTCATTATAATCCTATCGAAAAAAAAAGAGAAACGAAAATATTTGAAAAATAAAGTAATATATAAATAAAATTTATGTTTTTTCTTACAAGTGCATAACCAACAACAAAATGATCAGGTACTTCAAAACCACAATAATCTGGTTTAAAAGCACAAATTTTATCTTTACGTCTTTTTGTTATTAATGAAACAACACGAATAGTTTTCGGTTGAAATTTTTCAAGTTCTTTTTTTAATGTAGCCATTGTAAGACCTTTATCAATAATATCTTCAATAATAAGTAAATCTTTATTTTTTAATGTATTTAAATCACTTAAACCAATTATTTCAAGTCGATCTGATGATTGATCATTAATATAACTTCGTGTACGAATAAATTCTAAACTCATTGGTAAACTACGATCACTTCGAAGACTAAAAAACTAATTATTAGATTTTTATTCTTGAATCAAAATAAAACTAAACAAACCGATTTTGACTTTGAATTTTTGAAACTAAATCTGAAAAAAATCGATAACCACCTTTGAGTACACACAAACAAACTAAATATTATACAAAAAAAAAATAATAATAATAAATTAAATTATATTTTACAAAATTCAACAATATATGTATATAATTACTAAGTTGTTCAGGTATACCAATATGTAAATCATCAAATATTCGATTAGCTAATGCTTCAATACGATCTTGAACAAATCCATAAGGAATAAGAACAGATTTTAAATCATTACGATAATGTAATGGTAAACTATAAAATAAAATTTTTATATAATTTATAGAATAAAGAATAAAACATATAATATATTTACTTGAAATAATGTAATGGATAACCTTCAAATGAGTCTGTTATGATCAATGGATTGGCTTCAATATCTTTTTTTGAATTCTTCTCTACGGCTGCCATGTGTCACTGTTATATTATTACTTATGTTTGTCTTAAATATACAAAGATTGGTTGCCCAAAAGAGACCAGTAGTCTTTCTCTTTATATATAATCGTACTATTCTATTCCAGTCGTCTGTTTTTTTCTTATTCTTCTACATATACCTCTTTCTTTCTATCTGTTTTTATAAGTATCAGTGTCTTGGCATTATGTTGCATTCTTTGCACGTTCTAAATAATTTCTTCCTTTTCATAGCACGTAGGAATCATAAGAATAGAAAATGAGAAAGAATATTTTTAAGTATGTGTACGAAGAAAAGAACAAAAGTCAATAAGGTCGAATTTAATCCTAGATTAAACTAAACACGTTTGTAGATGACAGCAAGAATGAAATTTAAGAATAAGGAACATTGTGAAATCTTGAAGTCAACAACAGAAATCTTAACTTTATATATGAACTTATCAAGACAGTGAATGACTTAGACATGTGTTTTATTTATTCTTATATAGCATAGAAATTCTTCGTTCTAAGTATCAGAAAAGAAAATAATAACTTATATAACTAATAATTAAAAATAATGGTTTGCAATTATATGATAATACAACTTATTTTATGAATTTTTAAACATTATTTGTTATATAGTATAATTTTTTTTTAATAAGATAAATGTAATAAAAAAATGTGAAATTTTTTTACCACTCTGATAGATCTTATAATGCATTTTATTATTTTATAAAGAAGTAATGTATTGTAAAGTACTGTGGTCAAGTAATTGTTCAATAACTAATAATGTATTGAAAAAATCATGGATTATATGACATTGAGACATTATCAGACACATAATGTATGAAAATTGATGAAATCATTTGTATTATCATGTAATTATATCCATTATTTACGCATGAATATATTCATTATTTCTAATTATTTTCTAGAAAACGGTTATATGAAAACTCACTTTTTTGAGACATAGAAACGAACATTATTTACCATATTAAATGATGATGATTTGAAAAAAATGATTTCTCAATACTAAAGAAATAAAACAAAAGAAAAATATAGTTGACGATTAAAAATTCAATATGTTTATTAAAATGCTGAAAAAATATCTTTTATATACGTTCTATCTGCGTTCTCATATTTACCATTATAATCAAAAGACAACAAATAAGAAAGAAAAATAGTATTGTTCTTCATTTACGTTGTGCTTAGTTATTCATGCATTCAAGCATTCTTGCTCGGTTTATTTTAATATGGGTACGAAGCACGATATTGATGTCGAATGATGCGAAATTTTTTCTTTGTTACTGCGGAGTGAAGCACAACATTTATTTACGTCTTCGTGAGTTTGTTCATATAATTTTCAATTTACAGCGACAACATAAACATCTCTGATGTCAATAAAATGTACATATCTTTTGAAGAAAAGTGTTTTGTAATCGGTTGTAGACATGATTATACTAGTTTTTAGGAAACATCTTTTTTTCCCTAATCAACATTCAAATCTTTGCATTCGGAGTAAGATTCGAATGATATCTAGTTCATATTTACGAAGTGTAACATTCTAATTTCGTTTAAAAGTAATATTCAATCAACAATCCAATATCCTATGGGAATAGTTCATAAGACAATATAGATTCTTTTAATTTGAATCAAGCAACAGTTGTGCATAAATCGTCAATTTTTGCATATGTGCCACAGTATACCATTGATAATGCTCAACATCAAGCAGCATAAGTACTATCAGGTACATAACAGTATGTAACGAATGGTTCTATCGTGAATATTGGCTATGAAAATAAAAACAACAGTAAAATAAGAAATGATGTTTAAAAAAATTTTTAAGCGACTTTAGTCATTAAACTTTTTTAATGTTTATTTTATCACAAATATTGTTTTTCAATTATTGAATATTTAGTACATAAATAAATTAATCATCGACAACGATTGCAAATTATCTCGAGAAGAGCATGAACATTCGTCAGTAATGTGTACATATTGTTTTTATTTTATCTTTTACATGAGAAAACGAATGTTTATAGATTATTGTAATACATCTTAGGTGACTCTTTGCATTTGAACGTATAGTGTATATCTATATACGCAAATAACACACCTATGAAACATATTTGTCCGTGATGATTGAAATGATTCATGAATAGTTTATATAGTAACAAAAAAAAAATATAAAGAAAGGAAGAAAAAAAAGAAGCACAAGGTTACGTTCGAATAGTTTCACCTGACTAATTTTCACCTTGCAGTATGTGTGTAATAGTCACTTCAATGTTTCATTGTCATTTCTTGCGTATCAACTGTGATTTAAAAGAAAGACGTAGAAAATAGTATCGTAAATGACAAACACAAACATTTTCCTATTTTGAAGAATAATTATTACGATAAACGTCTCTTCAATACAATAAAAAGAACACAATCACATGGGTAGCACATTCAATAAAAAACAGGGTTCTGTTCAAGCACCTCCACAAGCGGGTGTTCCTTATCCAAGTTATATGCCACAACCTCAATATATGCCACCACCTCAAACTATGCAACAACCTCAATTCGTACCGCAGCCACAATATATGCCACAACCTCAGATGGTTCCACAGCAACCTGTTCAATATCGACCACAAACGTTTCCAGCTCAACCACAAATGTATCCACCTCAATCACAAATGTTTCCACCTCAATCACAAACAAATGTTCGACCACCATATCCAAGTGGATCTACGATGCCACGTCCTCCTGCTCCATCACCTTATTCGTCACCAAGTAATCTAAATCCACTAGCATTGTATGAAAATGATATGCTTCTTGCAAGTTTAACTGGTTGGACTATTGATGATATTGAACGATTACGACAAGAATTTATAGGCTATAGTAATCCTATGGGTGTTATTGATCGTGAAGGTTTTCGTAAACTTTATGTTGCATCATTATTAAATATGTCATGGCAAAATGTTGAACTTGATTCTGAAATGGCTTTTCGTAATTTCGATGTAAATCAAACAGGTTCATTAGATTTTAATGAATATATTACTGCTTGTTCACGGATGAGTCGAGAACTTAATTCACCAGTATCATCACCACCGATGAGTCCGCCTTATATTTATTAAATATCATGTTGGTGTTATTTTTACATATTATTTAATGTTTTTATTGACTGCATACAAAAGAAAATTATGAAGTATCGATATAAGAAGTATAAAACTCCTTATCATATATCTTTTTAAGAAGAAGTACTGTTTGAAGTTGTTGATAATGTTGATTTCGAAGATAATAATTATATTTGTTAAAAATTGAGTGAATTTTTATGTTTATATTCGAATAAATTATATTTAAAAGTTATTCTATAAAATTTTCTATAATTCTGATTGTAGCTAATTGATTATAAATATCACATGAATAAGTCTGTTTCTCAATTATATTAAATGTCGTTAACTAATACTAATAATAAGAATGAATTAGTTATTTATTACTTGATTTTAGCTATATAAAATCTTTTATTAACATAAGAAAAATGTACAGTAATCAAACAACACTACATGAATTAACTGATGTTTTATTTTTAAATGATTTACAAGTACTTATCATTTGTATAGTAATAACTTCATCTCGTAAGGACGATTCACAAGGTAAATTACAATAGCAAAAACAAATAACTGTTAACCTTACGAAAGAAAAACAATCATATCTTTTTTTTTTGTGAGTAATGAAGTTTTACTAATCAAAAAGAAAACAACTATCATGACTAATCAACATGTTAATTTTGTTTTTTCAGTTCTTTCATAAATAATTGAAAAAAAAAATTATCTAATAGGTATATATAGAAAGAGATAAACAAAAGTACGTTCTTGTTATTCATTCTTATTACGTGATATATGTTTATAAATCATATGACGTAGATATTGAAAAAATTGTGTGATTTGATTATTATCATTTACATTTACTTGTACTGCTTTTTCAACAAGGTCGACCATTCTAGAAAAATAAACAAACATATTAATTAGAATGGATTAACAAATGAATTACTCTTCCATATCAGTAAAGTTTCGAATGGGATGAAGTACTTGATTATTTTCAATTTTATTGAGTAACTGAAATAAATAAAACAATCATATTTATACTTAGACATAAATGATAAAAAAAGCAAACCTCATTTGCACGTCGAACAACACTATCTGATAGACCTACAGTTAATGCAGCACTAAATGCTTGACTACGAGTACATAAACCATCAATAATACGATATAAATATACAAGTTTTCCATCATCATCATACATTGTTTCCATAGTCTAGAAGATTAAACTATTCAATAAATTATTTCTCATAAAAAAAAATCTTTTACTTTACAACAAATTCTTGAACTTGTTGATACAAGACGTTGTTGAATAAGATCATGAAAATGAGTAGAAATTATAACATGTGGACATGCTTGTTCTGATTTAGACCATAGTGTTATAAGTGAAGCTAATAATGCTGTACCATCAATCTATATAATATTAAAAAAGAAAAATAACCTGTCTAAAAATGTGTTTTTATTTAATAGCAATATTATACTTCATTTGTACCAATACCAAATTCATCAATCAATACTAATGATCGACCAGTAGCGCCAGCAACAGCAAATGATGTTTCAAATAAATCACGCAAAAAGTTTGATACTCCCATGGTCAGATGAGTATCTACATTGATATATCTTTAAAAAAATATGATCGTTTCAAAAATATTTACACACACCAGTATGAATTTTAACAAATAATTTATCCATTAAACCAAGTCGCATTTTATTAGCTGGTACAAAACAACCTTTAATTATCAATGAAATACACATAAATGATGTTCCTGAAGTCTTGATTTATTGTGTATAATAAATATTTTGGTATTAATAAACATTTTCGTTGAACTGTCTTTATAGAAAAAAATCATCGTAAAACACGCTCTTCAAAATGATTGTCAATTGATTCTTCTAATTCATATAATCAAAAAGTTATCCGTTTTGAAATTTCTATTATATATCAAAGCAACTGATTCGTTACAAAGATGTGCGCCACGTCTTTCGGTAACTGAAAATTTTCTTCGTCAATTTTTATTCATATTTGGTGTTGTATAATATTTTGTAAAAATATAGTGCTTCATTTCTGAACATCTACCTAAGAGCAACAAAAGTTAAAAATACTATAAAAGATTAATTAATTAGGCAACCTGTAACTGACCATATAGTTTATTATTTTATAGTAAATTGAATATCTGTTATGTTAACTGAAAATGACGAATAATACGCATTAATTCTCTCTTTGAAAAAAAAAAGAATCTTACCGAGGCAATAACTAACATCGTTGACGAATTACAAAAATCTTATAAAGATTTTTCTTTTTTGCGATGGCAATCACTATGACAGAAATTTTGTGAAAGACCTATTAAAATGCTGTATACTAAGAACTGACAAAAGAAAGGTGGTTTTTTCATTTCAATCTTTATTATCTACCTAGAATTCTGTCTTTTCAAAAATAGAATTGATCCAATCTCCTTCTTATCTTCAGCTAGCAGCATATCAGATATGCTATTTATTCGAAAGACAATTTACAATGCGAATTCATTAGTTCAGCCACAAATACGAAGGAAACATTTCCAGTTATCGGCGCACTTTTGAAGCAGGACTTAGTGCAATGTGTCTATGGCTTGTTTCAGAGGAGATGGAATACTTTTAGTGAATTTTAACTGAAGAACTCAACAGTTGCAGTAAGATCATATTTTCGAATTTCAATCTGAAATCAGATAAAGACGTCAATTAGAATAGATAGTATATCTAGTATATATTTTTTAAAACTTCATATCGAGGTCTAATAAGTCTCTTTTATGTAGGTGTAAATCGAAATTTGAAAATATAGTCTTTCTGTCAACATCACGTCATACAGTCGAAATGCACTAAAGCATTTTGATCACCTCAAAAACAAGCCATGGATATAAACTATTTTCATAGTAGGCATAGTTCACAAAGTCTTGGCTCAAAAACGAACAGACATCTAGAAATATTTCGTTGTTAGTTCAGTATTCCGTTTTAAATGTGAACAACTAAATTGCTTATAAATATTACACATATTTCTAGACTCATATAACTTACTTAATAATCATTTTGAAAAACAAATTTTACTGTATTTTTTTCTATATAAAGACAATTCTAGGAGAACATTTATTATAGAAAACGAATTAGAACTTCAGGAATCATCTTTATGTTTATGATTAGAAATTATAACTTACCAATTTGAGCCATATAAACGAGCAACCCAATCTAAATACAAAATAAAAAACTCTTTATTCTTGAATTTTCTTACTTGTTTTATATAAATAGTCTTTCCAGAACAATTAAAACCAGTTAGAATATGTATATTAGCTTGATTAGGATTTGCATCACTTATATAACCGTTTGGAACAACTGTTGTAATTGGTAATAATGGATGTCTAATAAACAAGAACATATGTATATGAAAACTTAGAATAAATTATTCATTTAAATAGAAAAATAATTTTGTTTAAGTTATTATTTGAATTTCATATACTAACTTTCCGTCGATAATTTCAATACGATTATTAACTATTAATTCAGGTCGTGTATAATTATTTTGTTCATAAGCAATTAATGCAAATGAAAGTAAACTAAAAAAAAAGTTTTGAAAGCATGAAAAATAAAAATTTGTTTATATAAATAAAGCTTTTACCAATCAAGTTGTGAACAAAATTCTGTTGCATCAACAAACAATTCAGCACCATCACGTAAAGCCTAATAAATAAAATAGATTTTTTCAATTAAGAACACTATCTTTCCTCTTACTAATGAAAGATTTCGTTTAATAGCTAATTCTTTAGCTAGCAATTGTTTTCGTTTTTCTTCAGCTTCTTCTGTTGTTATATTCATTTCACGAGTACGACTAAATTAAAAAAAACAAGAAACAAAACTTATCAAAGTTGTATGTAAAATTTTTTTGTTTTACCATCGCCATATTTGTCCTTGTCGATCATTCCAAATAAGATCATCATGATGAAATTTATCTCCTTTTATTAATAAAACGCCATTATCCTATGAAAATTGGCTTTTTATTTTCTCTCAATATAATGAATGTAAAGTCTTGTTAGAACTTACTTGAATTAAGGCATAGCTTGACTCAATTCCACATTGTAATAAAAGATTATTAGCAAATTCAGCTTGTTGATGAAGTCTTTCATTTAATTGAATAAGATCTTGTCGTACTAGATTTCAAACAAATAGACATTTTTGAATCTATTAAATAAGTAATACGTACATTGTTCAAGATCTGGATCAGTTGGATCAATGAATACAATACGATTATCACGTACACTTCGTTGTAAATCAATCTATATATTAAAAAAATCTTAACCCTTTCACGGCAGGATTATTCTTCGTAGAAAACTTGTTCGTATTTAGTGGAAAAGTAGTCCTTATAACAGTCCGTAAAAAGCTTGCGCGTCTGGAAGTCAAGATGGTCTTTTTCATTGGTGAAGACCCCAGCATCCAATGGGCTCTACCCTTTCTAATATAATTTGTATTAGAAGTATCTGAATATATGATAGGTCTCAAAATAGGGCACTACGCATAACCCAATATCGTATGTCTTGCATTCGTAGCTCTTTTTTATTTCCTTCTTCAAATCACGAACCGTAAAGGTGTGATAGTACCATAGTCTAACACTGACAGAAGGAAAGAAAGAAGAGAAAATGTACAAATATATGTATAAGCACTACAGGGCTAAAAAGCTTACTTTTTCGAGATTTTTTAGACGAACTGTAAATGGGCGCTGAAATTTTTTGCATCAAAACTGAATGTTTGCTGCTGAAATTTCGTTGCCTAAAGTCTATCTGTCATTATAATAGACCGAACTCGTTATGTACTAATATCAATTTGAACTTTGAGTACAATTTAGTACCTGTATCAAAGGAAAAATGTCATTGTCCCATATATAGAACACTCGGCACAAAAGGGTTAAATAAGCAAATAAAGACTAATCCCATGAGTTAGTTTTTTTATTTCAAATGGTTTTACTTAATTCTTATGAATGCAATGAAGTCACAAGGTATATTCCTAGGGATGCAACAAAC